GGACTTGCGACGGCTTACATGGGGCCAAGACCAAGGCAACATGCAATTAGAAACAGAACAATAACAATAACAAATTAAAATAGCATGAAACAGCATAAACAATAATAAACAAACATCAAAAGCAACAGCAGACTAATTTTGGAGGGGGTGGGGGGTGGGAAGGCCACTATGCGAACTGGTTATAGGATAGGGTGGTTCAATAAGGTGGAAAGAAATATATAGGAAATAGCATGGAAACAGAACAATTAAATAGGATCAGTCTTCCAAGTGATTTTTGAGCGATTATCCTAACATTTTATTTTCCTGTACTCATTCATATATAACATCCATATACAATAATCTCTTCAGTTTATTTTCTAGAAGCATTAGTTCTCTTACCTTCATGGTAGATCGGCAACTCACTAATGTCATATGTCAGTACCTAACACATGTGAGCAAGTTGAAAACCTTTTTGGAATGATCATCCATTTGCCATTCTTATCATGGAGAATGATTTAGAAATTTCCTGCTGTTGAACAAGCATGCAGACCTGTTCTCTAAAATATTTTCTAGTGCCAATATAGGGACCGTTGCCTAATAAATGCCTGCCTAAATTGTATGGTACTACAACCATACTTGCTTTCTTTAGAATACCTTTGTAGGTTTTGCACCTGTTCTATATTTTTTACCATCACATTAACTTCATCTCCTTATGAGATAGATATAATTCTGTGTAAAATTAATGTTTCAAAGGTTATTTAATTATTTCATAAAAGTCCTATAGTCAAAAGGAGTGAGATGTTATATGTGCTGATGGCGAAGCAGTCTGCAAATTAAAAATAAAAGGCACAGACCATATTTTAATTTTAATGAAGGGAGGATACATAGAAAACAACCAAAAAATAGCTTAGGGAAGACAAAATGGTATACATTATTGCCAATATAAAATATAGTTTACTGAAAAGCTTAATAACCATTTTGATGAAATGCTACATCTGGATGTGTTTGTACTTTTGGCACTATGACTGTTGATAATGGGCCATGGCTTCCCAGATTGTTAATCAGAAAAGAAAAACTATTAACAGCAAAACTCCATCAGCTTCATGCACTGAACTTTCCACAAGGAATGATATTTTATGGTTTTCCTAGGTAACTTTTTCATGGGTAAGCTTGCTATCATGACAATAAAGAACCCAGATACGCTAACAAAATACAAGAGCTCAGAATACTTTAACACAAACATTGGGTTGCAGCCCATTTACATTATACACACACACTGTACAAGTTGACCTTATGTATAAATTAAGGGCAAATTTGAGGGGCAAAAAGGATTTTTATATAACTCATGGATAAGTTGAGGGTTATTCAATGGAAAGGTGAAAGCATAATTACTACCTCAAGGCCAGCTGCCCTTGGTCACTGACATTATTTTCATGGTCAGGAGTTCAAAAAGGACAGAAGTGGCATTGTGGAAGAGAGTACAGGAATCAGTGCTTCTTTTAGATTATCCCAGGATGAATTAAATCCTTGCTTTTTGTCACTCTTACAGTACATATTTACATTGACCCATGAATAAAGTGACCCAGATTATTTTATTTTTGACTAAAACGTCTAGACTTATACATGAGTATGTAGGGCAGACTTGGGAATCAGAACCAATTAAATTTACTGAAGAAATAAACATATATTATACATCTATAGAGAGATATCAAGAGTGAGGAAAATGCCTCCCTGGTTTCACGTGGCTTCCGGAACCCACTTTTGTGGGTCTGAATGCCCCCCATTAGACTCTCACAGCCCACAACCTTAAAAATTTTTTTTCAAAACTTTTCTTGTTAGAAAATCTGACTGTGTGAAAAGCACTCGCCTAAAAAATCTCCCACTGCCCTGAAATACCTCAATTTTCCTTTGTAGTCCTTCTCAAAATGGCAACAGAAGGTGATGGGATAAGAAGGAATATAGGTGAAAGGTGAGATTTACCATGGGGTGTGTGAGGGCTGCCTACCAGGACTATGGGAGGAAGAAATTGGCCCTAGCTTCCACACAGTTGTCTACCTCTAATATAGAGAGATAGACATACAGACACATTTTTCCCAACAAGGCAATGTTATGAATCATTCATAAACATGCAATTATAAAATGTTTACACAAAACACTAAAAAGTTTTTTAAAATCCTAAAAACAAACAGTGACATGAAACTGGGTTGTTTAGGTTTTTTCAGGCTATATGGCCATGTTCTAGAGACATTCTCTCTATGAGAGAATTCCTCTAGAAAACATGGCCATATAGCCCAAAAAAACCTACAGCAACCCAGTGATTCCAACCATGAAAGCCTTCGACAATACAGTGACACAAAACCTCTATGCCGACTCATTCCTACAATAGACAGGGTTTGGTTCTGCTATCATGTCCTTATGTAAGTTGTTTCTATTTATTTTGATTTTTTTGTATAAGTAATCAAGTGTTGTGTGGGTGTTGTGGGTGAAGCAAAAATTTAAGATTTGCTGTGAAAAACCTGAAATGGTGACATCTGTGAAAGCATCACACCTTCTATTAGTATCACAGGTTTCCTGCTTACAGACATACCAAGATCCTATATATGCTTTAGTAAATGTAGGAGAAAGCAACCTTCTAACCACTGTAGGTTGGAGTGGCTCCCATAAATTACATTCTGCCAGAAATTATGCTTACACATTTCCCCCATGCTGCTAAATAATATCCCTAGAAACAGAGTTCTTCCTACATGGAAGAACTGTATTTCCTCAAGGTGCAGTCTTCCTACACAGCCAAGACAAAGAGCCATTTAAGCATAAGGTTTTCTGTATGACCAATCTTTCTTTATGCTTGAGCTGGAAAGCAAATCACCACTCCCTATAATATGCATGGCCTGCTCCCGAACTGCTAATGCCCATTACAACACAGCCACCCAGTCAGCACTAGTGCCACCCATCCTTTGCACCAGAGGAGGGGGGCGGGATGCAAGCGGAAACCTTGCATACTCCTGACATACATGCAAGAGGATGGAAGGACAAGGAACATGGCAACAGCAGAACTGTCTCTGGTATCTCCTACCCACCACCATAAAATAAGAAGGTGGCATCTTGCTGTCAGATGTTTTATGAATGCTAAGGATCCTGGGAGCAAAGGCTATGTGGTAGATGTGATTGGAAAAGTCACCTATAAAGTATTCCTACTCCCCCTTCCCATGGCATCTTTGATTATAGGATACCTACAATTGAAGCATTAAAAAATAATAGGCCATTGCACACTGCCTTTTCCTTTGGCAGTTTGGAAAGAATATTGTAACTATTTCTGTCACTCTTTCTCCTCCTCTTCCTAGCATGGTGGGGAACATGCAGAGGTAATACTTCTGCCTATCTTCTCTTCTGGTGCAGCAGGCAACCTGTGCAGAACTTTGCAGAATGGGAGTTGCGGCAGTGTGTAGGTTCAGCAGCCCATGCACCCAGTGGCTATCTTAGATAAATAGGTCACCATGTCACATGATAGTATTGCCCTTAATTTCAGAGTTTAACTTCTGCAGAAACAAATGATGACCAAAACTCCAGCTGATACAGGAGACGATGGTAAACAGGCCAGGTATCAGCACCTAGACTGCTATGTTTGTCTCAGTGCTTCTTGTTTCTTCTTACTCTTAACATCATTTTTGTAGGAGGCATGTTTGCATGTGTTTATGATATCATTTCTGCTTTTTCAATTTCTAGGACAAAATAGTTTTTGTTCAAAAATGAGTATGTTCACATTATGGTAGTATTTTATTTCATAAGTCATGATGGTGCCATGACTTGAGCAATTCTAATAGATGAAATCACAATGGGTGTACCAGATTGTCCTTTCCAGTTATCAATGGGGAGGGTTTTTGATCCATGCTCTCTCATTGTTGAAGAATATCCGAACCTTTATTTAGATCTCAACTTGAATAGCTCATTAGAAAACATTTTAAAGAGCATGACACTCTGACAAAAATCAAGACAGAGAAAGAGGAATTCAAATTACTACTGCAAACTGTCACAGCCACCATCTCTATGGATGGAGACATGATTTCCCATGGTGTATATATATACCCATTCCAGTATTATTTCACTTTATATGTTTTGTGAACTTATGCAGTGCTTCAAAATCCTTTGATTCAGGAAGACAATGAGAAAAAAAACTAGCAGAAATGCTCTATCATGCTATTTCACTGTAAAATGTTTTCTGGTCGATCTAAGGTCCAATCTTTTGAGGAAACAGCAGAGGAAAAGAAATGCCATTCAGTAGAATACACATTCAGTGAGGATCTTCTTCAACAAGCCAGCCATATGTTAGACTATTAACAGACAGCAACTTCAGAGCCAGCAGCTTGATGGCTACATTGATTTAATTCATATTGGATTCATTATAGTGATTATGTATTCATTTAATATTGTTTCAAACTGATCTGTTATCTCACATTATTTAGAAATTGCTCAATCAAATACAGCCTGCGTAATAACTCAACCCATAAAAAATCTGTTTTTTGCTGTCTCTCTATAATAACCTGCTTTGGACTCTTTTTCGAAGTTTGATAGAAACAATAACTATAGCAACATTTTTCTTATTCCTACTGAATACCTGAACAATAATAATAACTTTATTCTTATATTCTGCCACCATCTTCCCGAAGAGACTCGGGGCAGCTTATATGAGGATCAAGCCCAACATAGACAAAATTACAAAGTAAACACAATTAAAAACATATAACAGATAAACAACATAATTAAAACGAGTAAAACCAGAAAAATAAAAACAAAAACATAATAAAAATGCATCAACTGACATCAACAACCAGTAGCTGAAAAAATGGCCATGTTAGGAAGAGGAGGAGAAATAGTGCTGGAAAAAACATAATCATGAAATACATTATCATCTCAGGGCTTGAACATAGGACTGCACATTTCTTTCTGCATCTTTCTCTCACAATATATTCTGCAATTAGGAACAAGAGAAATAACAAGAGAGAAATACAAACTTGGTTACTTACTAGGAACTCCAGATACCAGCCGTAAGGGGCGCAATACTCGGAAAGCCCGAAGTGCTTTAACATCAAATCCGGCACCTTTGCCTCCTATTGAATTTACCCCATCTGCTTTGGTTGCTTGTTCTAAAATTGCACTAAAAAGCCTGGGTGGTGGGGATAGACAAAGGAAATGAACTGTTAGTACACATCATGGAACAAAATGAAAGACTATTTTACAAGAAAATGGGAAGGATGTTGGTACGCATCTATAACATTCAGATTGACAGAGACAGCCAACTTTACCTCCTGCCACATGATCTTAATTTCCCTAAATAATTAATCTTTTTCATAGTTCAAGTCATTTTTAAGGTTTCCCTTTTCCCTAGTTGAGTCTGGTGCCCTTCTCCATTTCTAAGCCGAAGAGTTGCCATTGTCCATAGATACCTCCTAGGTCATGTGGCCAACATGACTGCATGGAATGCTGTTACCTTCCCTCCAGAGCAGTTTCTATTTATCTATTCACATTTGCATGTTTTTGAACTGTGAGTTGACAGAAGATGTGGCTATCAACAGGAGCTCACCCCATTCCACAGATGTGAACCATCGACCTTTCCATCAGCAACTTCAACAGCTCAGCAGTTTAACCTGCTGCACCACTGTGGCAAATTATTTATATCTAATGAAATAGATGAGTACTTAACTAATAATACTGTAGATGTATTTATGAATGCAGAGACACAAATGAGCCAATAAATCATATAATGGCAATGAAATAATTACTTCACCCGTTTTAGTGTTTCTTAAAAGGCACTACAATTTCATAAGTATCAGCACAAAGACTAATAATATCCATGTGATTTTACAAAGAGAATAATCAATAAAAGTAATTATCACAGGGAATGAAAGTGAAGTGAAATATTCTGAACATGGCACAGACAGCAAAACAAATACCACATAGGTGTTAACCCTTTCCTATGTTATCCAAAGCTAAATATATAGTTAGCCAGGATTACAATTAAAAATGTACCTGTTCTGACTTACATATCCATTCAACAAGAACAAACCTACAGAACCTATCTTGTTCATAATGTAATGACTGCCTATACTTAAGTCAAGCTAGTTAAGGCTGAAAAGTTTCATCTTTTGAACTAAAGGAAATACATAACCATCATATGCTACAAGTGTTAATATAGTTATAGCATAGAAGAACAAATTCATCCTATGGGAAGCACAAAATCTAGATAAAAGTAGGATGGTGAGGAAAGTGGAGGCAGGGACAGAGAAGGCAAATACACTTCTATAGCTTGATTCTATAGCTTAAAAGCTAACTTTTAAAACTGTGGCATAGACACTGAGAACAAGACAGCCCTGGCCCTCAAAAGTTCTAACTGGAGGTCAGCTGTTACCACCACTGCTGTGGAATTCAAAGAGGCAAGAATTGAGGGTGGAAGGGAGACATGTGTTCAGAGGAAGGCAAGCCAAGCCAATCCTTCCTGAGATCACCTTTCATCTGGAAATCGATGCCCTCATCGCAAAGGAACATGTAGATCATGAATAGGTCTCTACTGTTACTTACGGACACACTGCAAAGAACCTACACTTGGAAGGAATTCATACTCAGCCATGAGGGATCATCTATGATGACAGGGATTTGAAAAATACTAACAGGCATAACACAAGTATTCTGGATAGATATGTGACAGAATGCAAAAGTAGAAAGAGAAGCCTTTCAATTTAAAGCCAAGAAATTTGTGCAAGATCCGGGAACAGACAGAAATCCACAGAGGTATCATGTGAGAGGTGAATGATTTGGGTAGCACAGTAGTGGACAGACATTAGAGACTGATGTAAGATTAAATAAAACTGCAGAGTGATTTCAGCAATCTAAGCAAGGGAACACAGGGTGTGGATGAGAAGATATAGAGAATATGGAAGTTGTGAGGCATGCAAATGGAGGAAGAACTAAATAATAATGTGAACAATGGGTCTTTATTGAGAAAGGATTATACATCAGGTAAATAGTCTTCTTGTTCAAAATTTGGGGATTGCCTATTACTTGAAACACTATGGATATGTATGATATGGAACATATTCATGAATTATTAGAAAAAATGTTGCATGTGATTATCTTTGCATGTTTATTCTATTGAAGTAGTCTGCCAATTTGTCATCTACTTTGGATCATGTACAAATACGGTATTTGAAGTATTTGCTAAATCTTAGTTCAGCTGCATAGGTACATTATATGTATTCAGGAGAATAGGTCTAGCAGTTTAGAAATATCCTTGGAGATTTTTCTAACATTGCTTTTGAATGGCTCTAGAAAATCTCACTGGATTTGGACAGAAGCTATAAAAATAAATTTCCATAAATGTTCTGAAACACTCTCAACTTGTCAGATGTGGGAGCAGGGCCCTCATGTAAAGGTGAAATGTACATTTTACATGGATCTGGTTGTCTGTATGGGCATAGAAATCCAGAAGGACTCAGTCAGGTCGTGTTCCCCATTTAATGGGGAACACAACCTGGCCGAGCCTTTCTGGACTTCTCCCAACAAGTCCTCTTAGGAATAGGAAAAGGTATCACACCTTCCCTGATCATCTCTCCAATAAAACATGTCAAATATGAATACTCCCTCAATGGTTATTAGCAGAAGTAAACTTAGCCCATCATTTCCCAGTATTGTTTTCTGCTAATAGCTATTGGGGGAGTATTCATATTTGACATGTTTTGTTGGAGAGATGACTTTTTGGTGTGGGGAGGTGTCTTGAGAAAAACCTGAAACATTCATATGACATTAGGAAGCATATTTGCAGTTCCAGAAGAAAGCAATGGAAAAAATACTAAGGAAATCTAATAAAAAAACCCATACATATCTTGTTTCATCTTCCAGGAGCATGGTTTATGTTGCCTTTTAGGTGCATGGGATAGCATTCCTTTGCATTTCCCCAGGGTTGCTATAGACCCAGCAGCACCCTGGAAGTTAAGCAGTATCAGAGTCTGGAAAGCCAGGCTGCAGGCCCTCTGCAGTTATTAGTTTAGAAAGTATCTCTTTGGGTTAGGAGTCTGCCCTTTTTCCTGGGGTTGAGATCTCCATTTTGGAAATTCCCCTGCCTCCTTCAGTAGAGAAAAAAGCCTCAGATGTGCTGTTGATCAGACAGATAGCTCTGAAAAGCCATTGTGAGTACAATTGAGTCATAGATAGAAACTGAGTTATTAAGAAAAGCAATTGAGTAATTGAGTAATTGGGTTATTTAGACAGAGAAAGAAACTGAGTTATTGAGAAATAGAGAGAAATAGTTATTGAATACTATTGAGCTCTACTTCATCTCCAGAGCTAACCTTATGCTTAGATAGGGGAAGACCTGTTCTTTCTAACCATAGCAGCTCAGGGTTAGGGTGAAAGATCCCAGGATTTTTTCTACCATTTGGAGAAAAGCTACCTCAGTAATTGAAGAAAAAGGGAAAGAAAGAACATCTCTATGGTTTCCCAAATTGACTGTGTTGTATCTTTATCAAGCTGTGCCAAGTCTGCCAAGGACTTTGAAAATAAACATTTTGTTGATGTTCATATCTTGACTGGCATCAGTTGCTGAAAGTATTGAGTTATTGCTTCAAAGAAAGACCCCCAGCAGTTCGCCCAGATAAAGAGAGAAGCACATCTTAGTTTGTTATAGCGTCTGGGTTATAGCGTCTGGGCACATATCTATTTTTAATGTTGAAGGTAGATATGGGAGTATGATTACACACTCTACTAAAAGCCTGTGTGTAACTGCCGTGTGTTTGGAATGCTTCAGCTACTACATTTCTGAATGTAAAAGAAACAGGAGTCCTGCCAGGAAAAAGAGATTTAGGAAATCACATTGATAAATATTTATTTGCTAAAGAGAGATAAATTAATGTAACAGAGACATAGATACTCACCCTACTACCACAATTATAAAATCTAATAAATTCCAGCCATTGCGGAGGTAAGCGTTAGGGTGAAAGAGAAGTCCATATGCTATTACTTTTAAAAATGCTTCCACTGTAAAAATTATGAGAAAGAGATATTCCACTCGTTCCTGCAGAGGAGAGAAAACATGAAACAATGTTGTTAATTCTATGTAATGAGAAAACTTCCACAAAACAGCATTTAATATCCTGGCAAAGTGGGGTGAGAGAAGACTCTAAGATTATGCAGATCATATTTTTCACCTAATAGCCATATGATTCTGTGTTCCTTTTCATAACCCCAAGCCGAATACTTCCCACTCTGGAACATTCTTAATTTGTTAGATTTCAAATAATGTAACACTCCAGATGTTGTTAGACTGTAAACCATACTATTTGCTATGTTGGTTAGGGCTGATGTGCACTGCAATTGAATGACATCTTGGATCTCTTCACATGGCCCTTTTGGGCCATGCTGTTCTGTCGGCAATCGCTGGCTAAAGGAAAGACACGCAGAGTGGCTCATGGTACCCCGTGCACCCTCCCTTTTCCCCTCATCACACAGTGGGGGCGGGAGAGGATGCCTTGGCACCTTTTCTCTCCCACCATCAGATGGCAGTAAGGGTGGCAAAACATGGCAATGAATGTTGCCCCACCACCCTTTCTGCCATCACACGGCAAAAAGGGGAGGAAAGGGGAGCTACCCAAACTACACATTCCTCTCCATAGTGAAGGAGACCTCCACTTGGGAGGAATGTGGGCAAGACATGCTGTGTGCTGTGTGATGGCGCACTGCAGGTCCCATCCTTGCCATGAATAAAAGTGGCAAAATGGGGCAAAAATGCCCTGTGTGAAGAGATCCCTAGAGAACCACAATTCTTGGTCCAATTGACAATGCAACAACATTACAGTCAACATATTGCCAGAGCCTACCAAGTGATTTTCCCTCATTGTGGATGGCAGGAAATAACTCTCCTGTTCCAGAAAATGTGTGAGACTATTTTGCAAGTCTCTGATCTCACTTTTTTACACATACACAAAAGTTCTACATATGTCAGAATAACTATTAAAAACATGCTGAAACAGCTATTATAAAATTATTATGAGCACCTGGGAAATTTTATATAGTTTAGCTGAATATTTTACCCACTATATATGTATCTTTATTTAAACATATATGCACCGTAGTCATTACCCACATAATGATATCTGTACAAATTACTTTACGTTTTTTTTACTAAGAAAATCCTTAAAATTATGCTGTAGAGTTATCTGACATAGTTTACATAATATCATTAATAGAAGGTATGTAATATATTGGTAAAAGCCTTGAAATGTGAAATAGGATATTTCCAGTCCAATATTAATTTCATCTATGAATTCCCTGGTCCTTAGACAATTCACTCTCTCAGACTGTGAACTATGATGATAATATCTGCTCTCTCTGGCTTAGTGCCCTCCTTATCTGTGATCTATGGTGATAGTACTGCAATGAACCTCATAATACTGTTACCAGGTTTGTTTCCTGATGAGATTTACACCCCAGATTACTTTCCAAAACAAATAACAGAAATACAATCTTTTTGAAGTGCTACTACAAAATCCATAGCAGAGAAAACAGGAGCAAGGACAAGCTGCTTCTTCCCAAAGCCGTACTAAGCAGCAAAAGTTAAATAATGAAGAAGGGCAAGCCCCTCACAATTTACAAGACCATATGGTTAAAAAAGCCATCTCTCATACTAACTACCAAAACTTAACATTGTGACAGAACGTGGAGTAGAAACAGTAATGCTGATCTGAACATGGTTGCAAGCAAAATAAATAGTTATTGAATTTCAATACTTTGTTAGTTATACACTCTGCCATATATGGATTCTGCAGCCAAGGATTCAACTATCAATGGCGTAAACATATTTTTTTAAAATTCAAAATGCAAACCTAGATTTTACAACTTATGTAAGAACATCATTTTACTACACCACAACATATGATGGAACCTGTGCATCTACAGATTTTGGTATTGGGGAGGAAGGGTTCTGGAATGGAACACCAGGGGATACCAAGAATTCACTGTATAGAGAAATACATTATCAATTTTTATACTGTAGTATAATCGTCTTTCCACTTGGTATACTTTGAGGGGTCGGACCTGTATAGAAAGAACTAATCATTAAACTCTTCTGGTACTGGAGCAAGGTTTAAAGTTAAGACTCAGCACTTTACATGGAGCTGAGAAATGTGTAGATAAGAAATACAGATGAAATAGGACTGAGCTAATGCAGTTAAAGGGAATAACATGAAAAAAACATACCCTGCTGTGATATTATCCATTCATATAGATTATAAATCTGTTTTGTTATGTTCATTGCAAGTGATCTTTTAAGCCAATTGTTTTAGTGCCTGTACAAATGCAGCAGGAGACAAAGTAATTCTTTGACATTACCTGGATTGGTATATACATGGCAGCACTTATTTATTTATCATGTCAGAAGCGAGTTGAGGGTACAGTTAAAATGCATTTAAAAACACAAAGTTGAAAAACTTGGCATGTTGCTAAATGTCCTTTGACCAGGACATTTAGGAGGGACTTTCTTATTCAGTTTCAGCCACAGTTTCAGCCACTGATTGAGTTGCTGGGTTTTAGCCTGCCACTTTTGGACTCTTGTTTGCTGATGTGTTCCTGCAAGTATCTCTGTAGATCGTAGGAAGCTGTTGCTTCATTTAAGGCGTTGGCATGCTGGCTGATATCCAAACAGAGGATGGGCCAGAGATGGCAATGCCTTGGTCCTTTCATTGCTGGCTGCTGCTTCCAGCTGGATGTCAGGCGGTGTAATACTGGCTAAAAAGTATAATTTCTCCAGCAGTGTTGGGTGTAGACATCTTGTGATAATGTGGCATGTCTCATTAAGAGCCACATCCACTGTTTTAACACGGTGAGAGGTTTACCACATTGGGCATGCGTATTCAGCAGCAGAGTAGCAAAGCACAAGGTATCTTCACTGTGTCTGGTTGTGATTCCCAGGTTGTGACAGTCAGCTTCTGTACGATATTATTTCTAGCACCCACTTTTTGCTTCATATTCAGCAGTGCTTCTTATAAGTCAGAGCATGGTCCAAAGTGACTTCCAGGTATTTTGGTGTGCTGCAATGCTCCAGTGGGATTCCTTCCCATGTAATCCTCAGAGTTCGAGATGCTTGTCTGTTCTTAAGATGAAAAGCACACATCTGCATTTGAGATGGATTAGGAATCAGCTGATTTTCCCTGTAATAGGCAGTAAGAACACTTAAAGCTTTGGAGAGCTTCTGTTCAACCATCTCAAAGCTCCCTGCTTGAGCGCTATTGGTACGATCATCAGCATAGATGAAGCTCTCTGTCCCTTCTGGCAGTGGCTGATCATTTGTGCAAATGTTAAACATTGATGGAGCAAGCAAGCTCCCTAAGGCAGGCCATTCTTCTGTTTTCTCCATCTGCTTCTCTGGTCCTAGAACTCAATGAAAAAGCTCTTGTTTTGTAGCAGATTTCCTATGAAGCAGGTAAGGTGAAAGTCCTTTGTGATGATTTACAGAATCATATGCTTCTGACAGGTCTATGAAGGCAGCTGCTGTAATCTGCTGCCTTTCAAAACCATCTTCTATGTGCTGAGTCAGGTTAAGCACTTGTGATGTGCAGTGTTTGCCTTTCCTGAAACCGGCTTGTTGTGGAATCATACATGGGTCTATTTTTTCCATAATACTATGCAAAATAAGTCTCTCCAGAACTTTATAAAGATGGCACAAAAAGGAGACTGGTCTATAGCTTTTTGGATCATTATGGTGTTTGCTTGGTTTCAAAATGGCTATAACTCTGGTTTTTCCTCAAAATTTTAGGGATATAGTGTGATGCAGTTGTTTTATCAGCTTCAGCAGACAGCACCTTGCTTTTGGGCCAAAGTTCTTAATTTGTTCCATCCATAGATCATCCAGGCCAGCTGCTTTGCCATTTTTACATTTATTATGAGTGGTTTCCAATTCAGTCGATGTAAAAGATTCATGAAGGTTGTTGTTTTCATTATCTGGTTGTCTTACTTTTGGTTTTCTTCCTAGTTTGGTGGCAAGTTGGGTTTTTCATTCTTCAGAAGTTGATGAATGGCAGCACTGATTTGGACTGAATAAAAAAGCGCTGACAAAGCTAATGGTTCAAGTGTGTATCCATAAATATATGCTTATATCCCAAACAAGAGACTATCGTCATGGATCACTGTTGGTCCAAAGAGTGATTGAGACACAGTGGCTGAAACCGTAGGCATAACATAAAACTTTACCACTTGCTGGGGCCCTTGTTTACAAAAGCCATAGTCATCAAACACGCTTTTATCTAACATGTACTCTTAGCGGTGGTTACAAGGGGCAGGTTAATCAGGGGTCTTTCTGCCCTGGATCCTGAATGTACCCTTGCTGGCCACAGAGCTTCATATTATTCTGCAGATTGTTTGTCAATCCTGCAGAGATCATAACAAGACCTCCTTCTTCTTACTGATTGGACGGATGCCCCATTCTGACATCAATAGATGCAGGTGTGTGTGTGTGTGTGTGGGGGCGGGGGGGATTTCATGGTTAGTAAGGAGCAGCAACATAGGGACAAGCCATTCCTTTCCCTGGTGCTGATCAGCACAGGGAAAACTGACAATTGTAGTATCCATTTGGACAGTAGCTCAAGCTAAAGCTGACCCAATCCAGCTATTCTCTAAACTACAGCTGCATGTTTTCTGCAACAGCATCTATTTAAATAAAACACAGAACCTGAAATATAGCCCAAGCACTCAAATAAAATACAAGTTCTAGCCTATCTAATTATCTGTGCTCTTTACTGTACTTTACAGAATGCTCAGGAGTATTAAACATTATCTCTTTAGTTATTCAACGCAACAACTGTTATCAGTAAATATCAAGAGTCACATGACAGATAATACAAACAAAATGAAGAAATCTGTAAATGGAAGAAATCATGATAGAATTGCCTGGGTGGGAGGAAATGTAAGCATGGAAGACTCTGGGTTTCTGGATTATAGGTTATCAACAGATCCTTGTCATGGATATCCTTGCAGTGTGAATATATTAAGCCAAGGCAGCACTTAGCATTAATAACATTGACC